AAGAAAAGTTGCGAAGGTTGGTGGATGAATTTGGGAGGGTGTGTAAAAGGAGGAAATAAAAAGTGAGCATGGGAAAGAGCAAGGTGATGAGGCAACAAAAAAGGCAATGAAAGATTGCATATTAAATTGGAGGGAGGGAGAGTGGAGGAAGTGAATGTGGTCAAATATTTGGGAATGGACATGTCAGCAGATGGGTTCACGAAAGATGAGGTGAACCATAGAATTGATGAGGGGAGAAAAAGTGAGGGGGGGGGGGTGCATTGAAATACAATGGGGTCCCGCTTACATGGCAGGTTAGGTTCCAGGCTACCGCTGGAAAGCAGAATGTCATTTTTTCCACTTATAAATACATATAAATGCCAGATAACAAGTTTACACTAACATATATTAAGTTAGCAATAGAACTAGGCATTAAAAAACAATAAAAAGTAAAGTACACACAGTACATTTATTACTTACCTCAGAATATTTGTAGTCTTAATGTAGGGCGAGAGGTAAGTATTGTAAGAAGTCAGGTGTGGTAGGCATGGTAGCCCTCCTGGTCAACCCATCCACACGTAATATACTACGACATTTAAAGCGCTCTAGAGCGATAAAATGCATTACAGGATACTCATTACTTAAAATATTTGTAGTCTTAATGTAAGGTGAGAGGTGAGTAAACGATATGAAAATCAATTAATGAGAGAGAGAACGAGTAAACAAGAGAGGACAGAGCAGCAGAGTATGTAAACAAATAGATGAACGTGTCTGGTTTTTGTTGATACACATTCATTCTTATGTCTGTGAATCTTGTACCATAATACACCTTACATTGTGCACAAGTTGTTTCCACATTGGTAAAGTAGAATAAATGAAGAACAACACTCCCATTCTCGTGTAACACACCATTTTTAGAAGGAATAGCGCTGAGTTAAGGCATATGAAAGGAATAATTTTCTACAGTTACCCCCAGTAATACTATTGTGTGTGCATTTTCTATGAGGCTGAACTAGAGAACACACTATTCTTTCCGACACTCCGGCAAGACGACTGGAAAAACCTTTCGGATTTATGTTAGTTTATTCTGCTGTGAGTGTATTTATCATGTTTATATGTTACATAGCATGTTTATTATATAATTGTGAAAATACCATAGATGGATTGATCAAAATGTCTATATTAACATAATCTATGACATTTAATGCATCTCAGAGTGATTATTGTACTATTATTATCATTATTAATATGGTGTCTTCAAGACTAATAAGACACTCTTAGTGATTTTTTACATGTACCTGCATGCCAGCACAGTGTGTAAGTTTATTTAGGTACAGGTACACATAAGTATAATTATCAGAGTATATATAAAATATGAAATAACTTTAAAACACTTGAAATTTTGGACAGTTTCCAGACATAATGGAGAGTCATGCTCACAAAGAGAGTAAACAAACTGGGTGGCAGGCAGGAACCGCATTAGAAAGACAGGTGGGGGGGGGGGGAGCCATATAGAGAGTTTTGGTCATAATTTGAAATGTCTGTATTAGCGGAACACCGTAAAGCAGGACCCAACTGTATCAGTGGAGACAAAGAACATTATAAATAAAGGCAAAAAGGGGAAGGTATGAGAGTATAGTGGTACCAATGCTCTTACATGGGTGTGAAACATGGATGGTGAATGTTGCAACAAGGAGGCTGGAAGAAGTGGAGATATATCTGAGGGCAATGTGTGATGTGAATATTATGCAGAGAATTCCTAGCTTGGAGATTAGAAGATGTGGGGTTACTAAAAGTATTTTCCAGAGGACTGGAAAGGGATTGTTGAGGTGGTTCAGTCATTTAGTGAGGATGGAGCAAAATAGAATGACTTAGAGGGCATATAACTGTAGTGGAGGTAAGGTGAGGTAGAGGTCATCTTAGGTAAGGTTGGAGGGAGGGGGTAAAGGAGGTTTTTGTGTGTAAGGGGCTTGGACATCCAGCAAATGTTGTGCGAGTGGGGGCAAGTGGTTTTTGTGACTTGACATGCTGTTGGAGTGTGAGCAGGGTAACATTTCTGAAGGGATTCAAGAAAACCAGTTAACTGGACTTCAGTCTTGGAGGTGGCAAGTACAGTGCTTACACTCTGAAGGAAGGGTGGAGATATTTGCAATTTTAAACTGTATTATCGGCATACCTCGGGCAAGGCTGATGGATTGAGTGATGGTGAAAGTTTTCTTCATTTTTGGGTAACCCTGTCTTGGTGGGAGACAACTGGTATGTTAAAAAATCAAATTAGTTTGCCCCAAATGCTTCTCATACTAAGAGGTTTTCCCTAGAATATGCTAGATGATCTAACTGTAACCAATCTATAACCAAATAATCCATAAATTCATTGTAACTCCCATGTATATTTATATTCTAGAGAAATAATTGTTTATTCTTTTTGAATAGAAGATTGCAAGCAATAGATATTACATGTACATAATATTACACATTAAAAGTATTACAGGACATAAGTTGTCCTGTTTGTGTATGGGAGTAAAAAATTGTGTAATACTAAAATAAAAAATGCAGATTGAATGGATTATGGGATGGCTTGAGAGGAGTACAACAAGTGACTGTAAAAACTAATGATATAAAATCACTGAGAAAAGTGCAGTTGAAAAATAATATAGGATTTAGTGTTGAAAGTTTAGCAACAGAGGGGAAAAATAGTCAAGATGATAGGCTCACTTGGTGAAGTTTGTAGCCAAAATTGTTGCTAGTAGGAGAGTTTAGAGTTGTGCTACATTCTGAAGCTTCTGGTCCTAGTTGCTTACACATAAGTGAAAGAATGAAGATAGCAAAAATATTTATTTTGATTTTGGTACATTATTTACATTCTTTATAAAGGGAAAACCAGTTAACCAGCACTGGGATGGGTGGAGAAGTTGCAGCTCAGAGGGTCATTTTAACCCTTAAACTGTCCAAACGTAGATCTACGTTCACATGTGTAGCGTTCTGAATGTAGATCCACGTTCGATTTTATATCGTTTCTTGTGTAAAAAAACGTAGATCTACGTTCGGAGCGCTACATGCGCAGACGTAGATCTTCAGGCAAGACAGCTATTGACTGTGTATGACCCTTGTAGGTTTAGCACTTCTTTTTGATGATAATAATAATAATAATAATAATAATAATAATTAATAATAATGACTATGTGATGATTAATGTGTTTCCTTCTTTGGGTCACCCTACCTTGGTGGTAACAGCCAATGTGGTATAAAAAAAATGACAGACTCTTCAGGTGTTGAACATTGTTTAGGTGATGAGTGATACTTCCTTCATAGCACTAACACAGTTATTATTAAATACCATTGAAATTATGTAGGAACTACATATATCTAAATGTTAGTGAGATGCAGTAATTACAATTACCAACCGATGTCCATATCAATTTAAGTTAATATTTTTATTATAAACAAATTATGAACTTTATAAAGCATCAAATTATGAAAGAAAAATTGCCCAAGTTTTGAAAATCTGCATGTTAACACTTGAGTAAAATGATTCATCTCATAGAGTGTAAGAATGAATGAATGGTGCTTTTTCAAGTTAGTGAGGAAGGTCAATAAATTAAGCTTAGTTAAAATTGGAAACTTGATTAAAATTATTGTTTAGAGTAAATCGCAGTTGTGGTAGATGTGTAAACATTGTAATTAATTGGTTTTGTGTGTAGCGACTTTTATCCTTTCCTGGTGGTACGTCTGTGGCGACCACCACATAGTTTCACGTGTGTCCATTCCAGATGTTTCGCAAACGCATGTCCGGGATGAATCAAGGGTCCTTCGGGACCTGGCAACGGATCCCAAAACCCCGGTCCCAGACCACTTACCCCTCATGGGTCCCCAGTCCCGGAGGGACTGTGGGGCCCTTAGCTGAGGAACCGCCATGATTCTCGGGAGTGACTTGTTCCATGTAACGTTGAGAACCTGACCTGTATTGTACCATCTTCATCATTAGTGCCTCACCATCACCATAATCACCTTGTGATTCAGTTATCATTTTTAATGCTAACTTATTCCTGTTCATCCACTTTCCTTACACTTTGTTGCTCTCAAATTTCTTCATATTTGCCAATTAAATTCTAATATTGTCTGTGTAAAATTATGCTTTGATCCAACTACAAAGATATTAATCTAAATTTGCTTGAAAATATATGAAGGTTTACTAATAACATGTAAATCCCTTTTTTAAGAATATCCTGCAAAACTTAATCTTTTTCACTAACTCAAAGTACATATTACATTGGAAAGCAGTAATGAAAACCATTTTTCTTACCTTCTTTTTTTAAGTTTGAATATTTTTAGTCATTAAAATTTACAGTATTAATGCACTATACTATTCAGTAGTTTAGTAGGTATTCTTCGTGAACTTCTTCTTTTATCTTGTATTTTCTCTCTTCATCATGGTTTCTCATTTCATTGCATTCTCATTTTCATAATGAATAACTTATAAAAATTTGGAAAGTTTTAAGATTATTGTTTTAATTGGTTGGTGCAAAGTAGAACAAACATCTCACTGGCTGATCAATTTAAGTTTATTTTGCAAATGCTCTTAATTTTTTTTATCAGAAAAATGTGTTCTTTTCCATAAAAAGTGCATGAGCTCATAACTATAGAGATACACAAACTCATGAATTACACATCAACAGCATATGATAAAAAGATATTGAGTATATATATATATATATATATATTTATATATAGTGTATATCACTGTAAAGGGCATGTCAGAGCAACGTCACTGAGTGTACTGTTCATACTGTGAATGCATGCTTAAGGCACAGTTTTTATTTACTTTTGCAATCAGACAGTGAGAAGTTACATGATACAGTTAAACAAAGTACGTATTTAATGAAAATTTGGAAAGCTCGTGTTTGAAAAGGAAAAAGGGGAAAAGGGAAGGAAATACCAAATAAAAACTGTTTTCAAATGGAGCAGAGGAGCTGCAGTGAGTTGTTGAACACTGTGTAAATGTTATACTTTTCTCATGACAGGTCAAGCTTCATATCAAGCCTTGGAGGTGCAGTTGCCTCTACTCCTCTTGATGTTGTCAGGGTAAGTCTATAGTTTTATATGTAGTAGTAATACAGTGCTGCATAAATGTAGTAGTATTATAGTGCTGCATAAATGTAGTAGTATTATAGTACTGCATAAATGTAGTAGTATTATAGTGCTGCATAAATGTAGTAGTATTATAGTGCTGCATAAATGTAGTAGTATTATAGTGCTGCATAAATGTAGTAGTATTATAGTGCTGCATAAATGTAGTAGTATTATAGTGCTGCATAAATGTAGTAGTATTATAGTGCTGCATAAATGTAATACCTGCAGTACAGTACCATATAAATGTAGTGATAAATGTAGCACTGTACTAATGTACGTACCATAGTAGTAATACAGTGGAACCCAGAGTTTCGTAGGTAATCCGTTCCAGGAGCTAGTACTAAAGTTGAAACATACTAAAGTCGAAGCAATGTTTCCCATAAGAAATAATGTAAATCCAGTTAATCTGTTACAGATGGATTAATTGGATTTACATCTTATAGATTAATTATGGTTTTGCATACACACAACAAACATAAATAGTACTTAAATTAGTAATAGAAAAATAAACATTTAAATAAACATTTAAAATAACATTTGTACTTACCTTTATTGAAGACTGTTGATGGCATCTGGAAGATAGGGAAGAGGAGTGAGGGAGGGCATAGTGTTTGGAGGGAAATTTCCTTTCAAAAAGACTTTAGGTAACAAGTCCTAATGTGGGGTTACTTCCCTTCTTTGTCTTTTAATGCCACTAGGACCAGCTGGAGAGTCACTGAACCCCTGTCTCACAAAATAACTGTCTACAGTCCTCTGTCTTTGGTGCCTCTAAGATTTCCTTAAAATGGGACATGGTTCTGTCACTGAACTTGTTGCAGAGATGGCTTGTTTCAGCTTGGTCAGGGTGATATTTTTCAGCAAATGCCTGTACCCTATTCCACATTGCACAAATCTCCTTAATCTGTGAAGAAGGCACCTCATCCACTCCCTCTTCCTCCTCCTCTGAAGCAAGTTCCTCAGCTGTGGTCTGATACTGTTCCAGATGAAGCTCTTGCAGCTCTTCAGTGGTTGGCTCTTCCCTGTGGTCCTCCACCAACTCTTCCACATCCCTGCCACTCACCTCCAACCCCATGGTGTTCCCCAATGCCACAATAGAGTCCACAACAGGCAGAGGGTGAGCTGGGTCAGGGTCAGCCTCAAACCCTTCAAAATCTCTCAGGAGGACACAATCTGGCCACAGTTGTCTCCAAGCAGAATTCAAAGTCCTGGAAGTCACTCCATCCCAAGGCTTATGCAGTTGTAGATATTGAAGTGATTCCTCCAGAACTCTTTGGGTCAACTGAGTGTCTGAGGTCACTTCAAAGCACTTTTTAAACACTGCTTTTGTGCAGAGTTTTTTGAAGTTAGAAATGACCTGCTGGTTCATGGGCTGGAGGAGAGGAGTGATATTAGGAGGCAAGGACTTCACTGCGATGAAACTGAATTCCGTAGACAATAGGTCTTCCAAGTTTGGAGAATGTGCTGGAGCATTGTCCAGTAACAGGAGGCACTTGAGTGGCAAATTATTTTCCAGGAGGTATTTTTTTCACACTGCGGCCAAACTCTTCATGGACCCACTTTTTGAAAATTTGTCTTGTGACCCATGCCTTATTATTAGCTTTCCACAACACACACAATCTATTCTTGACGACATTGTTTTTCTTGAACACACTGGGATTTTCTGAGTGATACACCAGTAAAGGCTTCACTTTAACCCTTAAACGGTCCAAACGTATATATATGTTCACTTGCGTAGTGCCCCAAATTTTTTGAGAAAAAAAAAATCTTTTTTTTAAAAGGAAAAAAGAGCATATGGTTTACCTGGAGTTTACCTGGAGAGAGTTCCGGGGGTCAACGCCCCCGCGACCCGGTCTGAGACCAGGCCTCCTGGTGGATCAGAGCCTGATCAACCAGGCTGTTGCTGCTGGCTGCACGCAAACCAACATACGAGCCACAGCCCGGCTGATCCGGAACTGACTTTAGGTGCTTGTCCAGTGCCAGCTTGAAGACTGCCAGGGGTCTGTTGGTAATCCCCCTTATGTGTGCTGGGAGGCAGTTGAACAGTCTCGGGCCCCTGACACTTATTGTATGGTCTCTTAACGTGCTAGTGACACCCCTGCTTTTCATTGGGGGATGGTGCATCGTCTGCCAAGTCTTTTGCTTTCGTAATGAGTGATTTTCGTGTGCAAGTTCGGTACTAGTCCCTCTAGGATTTTCCAGGTGTATATAATCATGTATCTCTCCCTCCTGCGTTCCAGGGAATACAGGTTTAGGAACCTCAAGCGCTCCCAATAATTGAGGTGTTTTATCTCCGTTATGCGCGCCGTGAAAGTTCTCTGTACATTTTCTAGGTCGGCAATTTCACCTGCCTTGAAAGGTGCTGTTAGTGTGCAGCAATATTCCAGCCTAGATAGAACAAGTGACCTGAAGAGTGTCATCATGGGCTTGGCCCCCCTAGTTTTGAAGGTTCTCATTATCCATCCTGTCATTTTTCTAGCAGATGCGATTGATACCATGTTATGGTCCTTGAAGGTGAGATCCTCCGACATGATCACTCCCAGGTCTTTGACGTTGGTGTTTCGCTCTATTTTGTGGCCAGAATTTGTTTTGTACTCTGATGAAGATTTAATTTCCTCATGTTTACCATATCTGAGTAATTGAAATTTCTCATCGTTGAACTTCATATTGTTTTCTGCAGCCCACTGAAAGATTTGGTTGATGTCTGCCTGGAGCTTTGCAGTGTCTGCAATGGAAGACACTGTCATGCAGATTCGGGTGTCATCTGCAAAGGAAGACACGGTGCTGTGGCTGACATCCTTGTCTATGTCGGATATAAGGATGAGGAACAAGATGGGAGCGAGTACTGTGCCTTGTGGAACAGAGCTTTTCACCGTAGCTGCCTCGGACTTTACTCTGTTGACGACTACTCTGTGTTCTGTTAGTGAGGAAATTATAGGTCCATCAACCGACTTTTCCTGTTATTACTTTAGCACGCATTTTGTGCGCTATTACGCCATGGTCACACTTGTCGAAGGCTTTTGCAAAGTCTGTATATATTACATCTGCATTCTTTTTGTCTTCTAGTGCATTTAGGACCTTGTCGTAGTGGTCCAATAGTTGAGACAGACAGGAGCGACCTGTTCTAAACCCATGTTGCCCTGGGTTGTGTAACTGATGGGTTTCTAGATGCGTGGTGATCTTGCTTCTTAGGACCCTTTCAAAGATTTTTATGATATGGGATGTTAGTGCTATTGGTCTGTAGTTCTTTGCTGTTTCTTTACTGCCCCCTTTGTGGAGTGGGGCTATGTCTGTTGTTTTAGTAACTGTGGGACGACCCCCATGTCCATGCTCCCTCTCCATAGGATGGAAAAGGCTCGTGATAGGGGCTTCTTGCAGTTCTTGATGAACACAGAGTTCCATGAGTCTGGCCCTGGGGCAGAGTGCATGGGCATGTCATTTATCGCCTGTTCGAAGTCATTTGGGCGTCAGGATAACATCGGATAGGCTTGTGTTAATCAAATTTTGTGGCTCTCTCATAAAAAATTCATTTTTATCTTCGACTCTCAGTCTGGTTAGCGGCTTGCTAAAAACTGAGTCATATTGGGACTTGAGTAGCTCACTCATTTCCTTGCTGTCATCTGTGTAGGACCCATCTTGTTTAAGTAGGGGCCCAATACTGGACGTTGTTCTCGATTTTGATTTGGCATAGGAGAAGAAATACTTTGGGTTTCTTTCGATTTCATTTATGGCTTTTAGTTCTTCCCGCATTCCTGACTCCTAAAGATTCTTTAGCTTAAGGTTCGATGCTTGCTATTTCTCTGACCAGTGTCTCCCTACGCATTTCAGAAAATATTGACCTCTTTTAGCCGCTCTGTTATTCTTTTCCGTCGCCTGTAAAGGGAGCGCCTGTCTCTTTCTGTTTTACATCTACTCCTCCTTTTTCTTAGAGGAATAAGCCTTGTGCATTTCATCGAGTGCCACCCAGTTAATCTGTTCTAGGCATAAGTTGGGGTCTGTGTTGCTTAGTATATCTTCCACTTTATCGGTTAGGACTTGGTTTACTTGGTCCCCCTTTATGTTTTTTTTTATTGAAGTTGAATTTGGTGAATGCTCCCTCGTGGGCTAATCTCATTATGTCGGTCTGGGGCTCCGCGCATACATGACTGAACCTCAATTAGTTGTGATCTGAGTATATTGTTTTTGATATGGTGATATTTCTTATCAGATCATCATTTTTTAGTGAAGATGAGGTCTAGTGTATTCTCCAGTCTAGTAGGCTCTATTATTTGCTGGTTTAAATTGAATTTTGTGCAGAGATTTAAAAGCTCGCGTGAGTGTGAGTTTTCATCAGAGCTGCTCCTGGGTTATTACTGCAACAATATTATTTGCTAATATTCCTCCATTTTAGGTCCCTTAAGTTGAAATCCCCAGGAGCAAGATGTTGGGTGCAGGAGCTGGAAGGTTTTCCAGACAGTGGTAAATTTTTTAACAGCTGTTCCTGGAATTGCTGGGATGTTGCATCTGGAGGCTTGTAGACTATCACAATGACTAGGTTTTGGTTCTCGACCTTTACTGCTAAAACTTCCACTACATCATTTGAGGCATTTAGCAGTTCTGTGCAAACAAGTGACTCTGCAATGTACAGGCCAAACCCCCTCCTTTTGCCTGTTCACTCTGTCACATCTGTATAGGTTGTAACCTGGGATCCATTTTTCTTTGTCCAAGGGGATCCTTTATGTGGGTTCTCAGTGAAAGCCGCAACATTGCCTTTGCCTTGCAAGCAGTCCACGGATGAAGGTATTTTGTTGTTTGTTGCTGGCTTTAGACCCTGTAAAATTTGCAAAGAAGAATGTTATCGGACTGGTGGTATTGTTGGTACTGGGGGGGGGTTTTTTTTCCGGCATTAGTATCTGTATCTGTTGGTTTGGAGTGGGGCCATCGACTGTGGTTCCACTCCAGGAATGACTGGATTT